TGGTCGCTTGAGACCTGGGCGTCGGTACTGGTTCTTCGCCTAAATCGAACCCGAATCAACCTGCAGTGCATAATTTTTGTTGCACACATACATCCATCCTTGTATGTTTGTGTCTATATTTTTGCGCGAGGCTGAAGGTCCAGAGGACGTGCCTACTGCTGACAATGAATTTTGGAATCCCATACGGGTGTCTGTATGCGCTGAAGCCGATTTACGGGAGCCGTGCAGGAATCAGACCTTTCCGAGGGGTGCGCGAGGAGCCCCCGGCAGCTACGAGGGCCAAAAGCTGTATCTCCAGCGCTCAAACCTCAAACATGCGAAGCCTAGAACATAGCATCAGCTAAAGCGCAAACAGAAATAAACAAGGGTTCTAACTATGCGCAGCAGAACCCGTTGAAACCGGCTACCAAGCAAGAAAGTCCTGAGCCTAGTCTACCAGGGGCCGGGGGAGGCAAACTACAAGACCAAACCCCACGCGCCTGCTTTAAATACACCATGCCCGCGCCGACATGCGTGCCGTGTACAGTGACAGCGTATATACAGACACGCATGCCGAGCAAACAAGTAACAAAAGATCAGTTCGCAAGGAACTGCAGCGATTGTCGTTCCGCAGCTCAACCCAGGTAGCGCGGTCGTGAAAAACAAAGGCAAAGTAGATGACCTCCACAATGCAGTGAGAAACAAGTCACAAGCTCCAAGCTTACGGCAAGGGTCACCTTTTCGAGAAAACTCTAGAGTAACTCTTGCTCCGCAAGCGCCTCGGCGGTCATCTTACCATCCGTCCAGAATCATCTTCCGCGATATTCTTCAAGCCTCCAGTCGGGGCGACGATGGACCGTGTTCCCGAGCGCATAGCCTCCATCAGCACATGTCCAATCGCGTCCGGCGAGCAGAGCAAAACACTCGATGACCTTCCAACTTGCGTAAAACCGACTCTGGTCTGGGCCACGAAACCAGCGCTTCCAACGCCACCCACCGCCATTTGCAGTTCAGTGTCGTCCGGAACTACCATCAGCAGCTAAATGACGAAGTCGCTGCTCATCTTGGCGGCCAACCTCCCAATGAAGCGCATCAACATGCAGTGTTTGCGATAGAGGTGCTTTAACCCTCTCTCTGATTGCGTCTTCTGCTGCAGCTGCTATGAACGGTCCGCAAGTCTTCTTGGCCACGGTGGCGAATTCCATGCCACTTGGGGAAACTTTTTTCTTGACACCATTACAAAATCCTGCGCAGTGGCCCATCTTGAAGATGACTTCCAACTCCACAAACTCGGAATCTACCGTCTCATGACCTCCTGGATGCATACGTTCATCTGCGGCCCATGGCGTGCCCATTGTCGAGGGGCACTGGAGTCCCTGGTTATTGGCCCCCGCTGCTGGGGAATTTGATCCCAGACCCAAGGTGTATATGTATGTGTATGCATGTATATATATATATACACATATTTATTTGTTTATATTTATACATTTTGTCTTACATGTAGAAAAGAACCTGTGAGGCCCCAGCACCAGGGCCTGCTCCCAGTCTTTCAGAGACTTCGCAAAGGATTGATGGAAGGGTCGGGACCACGGATATGCCACTGCAAAGACATGCGAATGCCGTTTGGTGACATCATGACGTAAGGTGACTGATCTTGACAAGAAGATTGCCAAGTGTGATGAGGATGCATTAACCGCCCTTCACGGGCTGCTTTCAACGTGTCCGGTTTGCGATTCATGCAGGACCTCAGGAGATATGTTGGTGGAAGAGCTTCAGCACAGCAAAAGCAGTTGGCTTTGCAGTGCATGAAGAGGCAGACAGCACGCTGGTCAAGATGTGCTCTCGCATTGCAGTGAGTGGTGCAGATCCGAGAAACGGTTGACAGATGCTGAGCATCCTATACCTTTCAACGCGGGAAGTGTCAATCGAACATGGAGGGATTTCTATCCGAGTTCGTTTTATGCTTGCAGACACCGTTGTCCCAGAACTGTTTCCCTCAAACTCAGTTGTTGTTATCACGCAGTTTCATGGAAGCCTGTGTTTGGGAAGGAAGAAGATGTACGAGCAGCAGCGAGATCAAATCCTGGGAACGCAGTTCAATGTCGACTCACTGGCCGGCGCGCAGGAGCAGGTTCGGTCGGGTCCAGAGGGCCAAAGTCAGAGTATTTGAAGCTTAAAGTGTTGCAGCTAGGTGACCCACTCATGCTCCGAACTCTTCGATAGAAAATCTTCGTGGCAGCAGCTATCTGTACTCCTCCAAGCTGGCGAGCAGAGGAAAAGTTCACGGGCAAACCCGCTTCTTCGGGTCACTACTGTCGCCTTATGTCGCCTTAGTAACCTTTGCTTCTGGTCGAGTGAGTGAACTCGGAGCGGACAGGCGGAGATCAACATCATGACAGTCGAAGCAATGAAAGTGGGCCATCAAGACCTGAGCCACCGGCATGTTTGTTTCTCAGAGTGCGCAGACATGATTATGTCGGCTTCGACCCGCAACGACTTTCCTGGAATGCTGTCGCAGGAAGGAACGATACCAGCAAATTGGTGGTGTCATGGACATTGTGGGATGCTTAGAAAGCGCAGTTTCAGAAGCTTTCCTGCTCCTCGCTTCCTCTCCTTCGTCCTCTGCCTCTTCCTCCTCCTCCTCCTCCAACATCATCATCCTCATTATCACCCTCACCCCTACCCTCATCCTCAAACACCCATCCGCATCAGCATCAGCGCCATCGCCAACGCCAGCGCCATCACCATCATCTCTATCATATTTATCCTCCTCCTCCGCCTCCTCCTCCTCCTCCTCCTCTTCGTCGTCNNTTCTTCATCATGGCCAACTTCTTCATCATCACCGGCGCTCAATGTGGCATCGGGCCAGGGAGCACAACACGATGCCGCCGAGGAAAAGCTGATGGACAACATGGCAGATCTTAACGACGAGATTGCCGACATCAACGAGGTGTGTGCTTGTGGATGTTCGGACTGTGCCTGGGGGTTGCTTAGTCCGAGCTTGTGTCATGGTGCTGCGGCAGGCCATCTCCACGACGTATGCGGTCCCGGACGGCTTCGATGAGGCCGCTACTTCTTAAACCCTGACACCATGCCCTAAACTCGGGGCTTGTCCCATGCATGGGCTTCCGACACACTGCAGCGGACACAGACAGGCCGTCAACACAACAAACGCACGCACGCACGCGCGCACGCAC